ACCTCGTGCGCCCAATCCACCCGTCCTGAACGATACTCTGGCGTCAGGTCGAGCGATGTGACTCCGATGATCAGCCGTGATTACCCGTGAAACTGGTCCAATCCTTCGTCAGGTCCTCTCTCTCTCTCTTCGTTCCTCTCAACCTCCATCTCCTCGGCATCCTCTTCGTCATCGTCCCTGTCACAGAGCCATATCCCAGCCTCCCTGCTCCTCCTGGACCCTTTCTCGCTCCCACTCGGGTCCCTCCTCGGTCTTGTTTCGCGGTGATAATAAGTTGCGCGTACCTCCGGGTACGTGGCGCTTGGCGTCTCAATTCGCCGGGACGGCCGCAAAACGGGTCGGACCTTAAGGAGGACGTCCTCGGTGACGGCGCGACGTCGCGACGCGACAAAGAAGAGCAGAAGGAGCGCGTGGCCGAACGCGCGCTCTCTGTCTAGTGTTCGAACGTGGCTGTTTGATGTTTGCGCCTCGGAGCGCTTCTGCGATTTGCCTTGAAGATCCGAGCAAGTTCAGCGACGCCAGGACGTTCGTCGTCGAGGAACGGCTCCACGCTTCTACGTCTTCCCCTCCTCGGTACGACGCCACCGCATCGTCTTGTTTACAAGCTCAGTCGCGATCTGAGCTGGCTGCGTCCCGCGTCACGTCGCAGGATCATCGTGGACGGCGAGAATGCCCCAGCCCTAGGACACCACGAGTACCGGACATCAACCTAGCACCCTGCCGACGTCCCGACGGCGAGCGGGACAGCGTGCGCGACGTCCTGCCATCCTGCTCGACCCGCGTCCTTCGTCCTCGTCCTCGTCCTCGTCGTCCTACGCGCGCACTCGGCGCGCGACACGCACGAGGAACGCGGACCACGCGAATATGAGCATGACTCTCGTCCGCAACGCGTTCAAAGGTGCGTCTCATCGTTTATTTACAATATTAGTTTCATTACTTTACACTCTCTCGAGCTGATCCTCCACCTGGTCCTCTGAGCTTGCACGCTGATCATCCAGCTAGGTGTCTGGTCCGTGTCACTCCTCGCGGAAATACGATAAATTAACCGATAATCATGCCTCGTGTTTCACGGGGGTGAAATCTCGCGTGTGGCTCGGACACGTGGTGATTTCGTGTCGGCAAATAACGTTGCGTGCTCCACCTATGTGGGCTCCACGGCGATTCTGGCTGCGCAGGTCCGGTGCATTACATCGTACCCGAACACTAGCTTGTACACTGGCTGACGTAAGTTCATCCAGGTTCCAACCTACTTGTCATCCTGTCAACCTACCTGGGACCTAGTCGTGTCATTCAGAGTATACCTATTCGTCAATCCTACATTGAACAGTCATTGGAACAGATCGAAATCAAACAAGGTATTTCACGCTGTTATGACGTCTCGGACATTAACGTTTATCCCTCTTGAAATTTTCTAACGTACCACAAGGCACGACCGAGCCTCGCCCAGAGACTCTGTACGCTTCCTTTATTTCGTCTCGGACGAAAGGTGCGGGGCTGAGCTCGCTTTATTACTTTCTCGTCAGCGCAAAAGATCGGGAACTCCACGCATCCCTGGAATTAACGGCAGTCACACACGCCGCGTATAGTTATTTCTGCACGTTTCCATGCTATTCGGTACACAGTGCATACCTCGAACGTACATAACCTATAACTCGTGTCGTTTACGCGTTCCGTGTAAACAGGATAGCCATCAGTCTGTATTAACTGTACGCTGTCAAGCTTACCTTTTTTTTTAACGTCACGACGATTCAGCTTAACTTTTGTTTTGTCTGCCGTCGATTATTTTTAGACCCTTTTATACCTGCGATATCGTACCGAGTGACTCTATTGCTCTACGAGTGTCCAATGTGGGTTAGGCACGATTCTCGTACGTCTGGTTTAATATCTCTCGGTGTTGTAATGTCACTGCCGGCTGTATCGTCGTTTCCGTTTACGCGTGGGACGATTTCCGCAGAAACTGTTCGATCTTATAAATAAATCCGTGGCGCGCGGTGCGCGCAGGAACAAAACCTGGCAAACAGACGGCGGTCCTTTCTTTGTTTGGCATGTGTTCACCGCGTGCTTCCCGAGTACACTAGGTGGCTTCGCCGTCGAGGATTCTCGTGCCTGATGCACACGACGCGCTGGGAATTACAGGCTGAGACTTGTATGCCGTGTTTCATTGGACTCTGGATACTTTTTGCGTGACAGTCGAGTGTCGATATAAAAATTTCGTCGCTTCGAGATATCGAGTGCGTTGCTTTATATATACGTCTAGGAGGTTAATGGATCTGAGAGGGTATAAAATGTCGAAATCTTTTTTCTTTCCCTAGGAAACGTATATCTTTATAAACTTCACACCGAAGCACGTAAACGTGAATATTTTTGACGAAGATTCGGTTTGGCTATGTGTTTTACATTCTTCGTGCGATTCGTTGTTTTTGAACGTTCTTTTCTATGACGTTCGACCAAGTTGCGTTGTGGGAGCGACGTAAAGACACTCGTAGTCTCTTTGTTTCGAGTTTGGTGTCACGAGGAATCGGGCTTGACGCAGTTACCGACCGAGTTTACGCGGTGTGTCAATTACGCCGTGTTAATTACGAGCTCGTTTGAGAAATTGCGGGAATTTCAAATCGATTTTTTCGTACAAGTTAGAACATCGTGTACGGGTGTGGACGTGTATTTTTTTTTAGGTTAAGATAACGACTCTGCACGTGGTAGCTAGTGAAATTGATTTATTTTTTAATTGCGATTTTTAATTTTAGGAAAATTTTTTTAAACTAGGACGCCTCGTACTTTATCTATAATTTGAGCTGTGCGATTCGCTCGATCTTCTGGTCAACGTGGATACTTTATTTTTATTCTTCTTAGAAATTACACGATGGAGATCGATGATCTTGGAGAGGTTCGTGGTCGCGATTACACGTGAGATTTATTGTCAGGGAAATTGTTAATCTTTCGTCGTGAATAATTTTCTCGCGAGATTCGAAGCTTCGGGAGCTTCGGAGCTGCGAGGCTTTTATCGATCACCTGTTAATGACGACGTTGCCCGCAATTTTTGAGTCTTTTTAATGTTTACTCGTAAATTCTGTGTCAACGAGAACCGATTGTATGGCGCGTATGTTTTTTACGATATAAATTATCATTTTATCGTTTATCAGTTTCGTGATGGAGATCGGTGATGATAAACGGATTTTTTTTGTTTCATGCAAAATATTTTCAATTTTTTTTTTTTCAAAAATTTATTCTCCCGCAACAGTCTAATTATTGGAAATATGTTGTATACTTGACTTTGAAAAAGTGCATATGTTTTATATAGCAATTTGACTTTTTTTTTTTGTGTAAAACTTTTTTACTATAGAAAGTTTTTCTTGCTGCTTATATTGTCGTGAAAATTGTATCGATATTAATTTTCGGTCATTCCTTCTTTATGCAGCGTTATTCAATATCTTACGTGACGATTGTTCTTATCTCGGTATTTTAAAACAAGGATGGGAAGATCGTGCTCGCGATCCACTACGAGAATAATCTAAGCATCGACTTTCTTATTAATATTTAACTTTGAAAGATCGGAAAATGCTTGCTCGGTTATATCTCGTCACGGCGCTGAAATAGAAATGATCTACGGGATCAGAACTCGGGATGGCGAATAGTTTGGATATTTATTATATATAAAAAGTATTAAGAAAACCCTGTAGCAGTTGATATCCGAAATTGTATAAAATTTTTGAATATTTCATTAAGTCAGAAACACAAGAATTTTTCGACTTTATCCAAATTCTTTGTTTTTTTTTATTATCTCCAAAGACTCGAGCGTCACAAATACATATGCAATTAATTTAATCAATAACTTTTAATCGTATAAATCCGTAAATTCTGCCTGAAGAAGCGATGAGAATTCGAATGCGCTAAAATTACAAATTTTTTTTTTTCGTAATTTTATAAAATCCTATTTCGGCCCGGAATCGCGGATCGATGCTTTTTCGCAATTACGTGTCTGCTCGATTATTTCGTATCGTAAAGTGTCGTGATCGATTGAAAGTAAACAAGACGACGATAAAAAACGATGAAGATCACCGATTTTACAAAGACTATTTAGATCGTCTTATTTATCGGTCTACGCAGACGTATCTACGTGTTAAAGGGGAATGTTGCACTTATCGCTCCATCCTGCACTACAGCGTTCCGAATATCCCGATGCTTTTCGTGTTTATGCTTTCATCGTATCTTTCGACGTTGACGTTACGTCGACGTTAGAGCCAGTGTTTTCGATGGAATCGCACGGGCCGAGTAGTGTTTTGAAATGATCGATGGAAGATGCTGAGGTATCTTTCTCCGTTCTATTTTTTTTTTTCTTCCAACCACCCCGAAGTTTCCCGACGTGCAAGTTCAAGTTTGACTCCGAGCAAGATTTTAGGTTTATTTGAAAAGGCGTCGAGACGCCGCAGACGCCGCGAGAATTTCGTTAAAGATTTCTTGGGACTTTCACGCGTCCCCGTAAAAATTTCTATACGCGAACCATGAAAAATCAATAATCGTCCGTATCGAAGATCTGAATAATATTAAATAAAAAAAATATTTTTTTTTGACGTAAAAAAAAAGCAACACGCTACGAAACTCCAGGACGCGATTGATCAATGGGAAAATCCTGGAAACGCGTTATACGTTCGACGGCAATATACCGAAACGATGATGGATGTCAAAGGACAAAAAGCATTGGAATTCCTCGGAGAGCCGCGAGCGGCCGAGAGTCACGATTTGGTCGATAGCGAAAGATTGACCGGAGGCCGAAGGATTTATTGGACTCCGGTGATAATATTCGACGGGTATAAACGTAGCTGGGAGGACCTCGAGAAACGGTAGACGAATAAACGTCGAACCGGTTAACACTCGGACATGCCAGCCGCGCCCTATCAAGCTCAATGACCTCACCGAGAAATCATTTACTTCGCGCGGGCACAGATCACGCGTGTCATCTTCTCGCTACGGGCAACGTGCATTACGTGCGAATCCTTCGTTTACAATTCAATACGTTTCGGCCTATCACCACGTAAGCTTCAGTCGAAATCTTTCCTCAAGAGCAATAACCGCAGGCTGGAAAATCTGTCGCTCATTTGACACGCGCCTTGAAACCCATCGTACCTATGGATTCTAATCCTTTATAGTTTGGCAATAATGATAACAATAACAGCATGCCCAAAAAATTGTTGACTCGATGAAAAATTTTTGTCTTGCCACTTAAAAAATTTTGATTTTTGAAATAATACTTGAATATAATAATAATAAAAATTTTTTTTTTTTTTAAAGTACCAATTCATAATCAATACGTTAAGAGAGGGTCAAGTGTACATTTACGCGTTGACGCTAGCGACTTTTGAACGTCGTACTATTAATTTTGATCCAGCATCCATAGTATCGTGCATCGGAGCAACTGGGAGCGACCGTAATACATTTTACTGGCTGAAATGACTCGTGATCTGTGTTAGTGGTGGGGAGAAGCGAGGGATAGGTAGGGAAGAAGTGGGGGAAGTGGTGAGGATGGTTAGAGGTGAGTCGGTGGTGGGGCGGGGAAGGGAGGGGGAAGGTACACGCATACAAACATATTTGACACACGCACCTCGTGCTGCATCCTGATTGGTTGGTCTGGTACGCGTTATCCGGCTGCCGATAAGCAAGCCTTCCAGGAAACACGTCTCTCGAAATCCCCCGTGTTTACCACCTATGGCCCGATTATACTTGCTGTTTGTAACTTTCTGTATTCCATTGACGTCATAGGAAGAAATATTTTTATAAGGGAACGCATTATCGAAATCTTCATCTGTACCAATCTGGTTGACCTGCTGACTGATAGCATTACTATTCGTTCTTCGCTTCCTTGCTTGCCGGAGGTTGTGTCAGCGATATCGGGAACGATGCTGGGTTCGTGAGTTTCGATTGGTCGAGACCTCCGGCGATCGCCGAAGCTGCGTACCGATTGGTCGAAAAGTGTCACGTGATCGCGGTAGCCAGCCAATGGGTCCTTGGCTCGTTCTTTCGATAAAGACAAGGTATCAGGTTGGTCGGTGGTTACTCCGGTTCACCGGGTGACCCAATTTACGTGTATGTGGAAATTGGGTTTAATGCCAAACGTAAGATAATGCTTGCCTAGATTTAGTAGTTTTCAAAAAAATTGTTTATAATTCGTAAAAACTTTGATGCTTTGTCTTTACGCGTGCCGTGCGTTGGGTGTTGTACGAAATGAAGAGTGTCCGTCTGGAGTATCGTCTTTCGTAACAGCTGCGTATTTACGAAAAAGGTGGTGCCAGGTTCGGTTGCGAGGGAAATGGCTGCCACCTGAAAGATTTGACGCTTCCCAGAAACGTCTTTTCTTTGTCCTCCCGAAGTCGTCCGTTCGTAATATCGTGTCACTTCGTACTGCGGATGTTTGTCGGATCGAGATTTCGCTTAATCTGACTATTGGCGTATCGCTTAATTTGTTTATCACGACTGTCTACTGCGCGTTATTGCGTGAATTGAGTAAAAAGCATGAATAGGTGTAAGCATCGGATATATGTGAGAACGTAGAGACGCACGGGACGTGCGAGAGACCAGCAAGAGGAGCTCGCCTTTGACCTGGTTCGGCGTCTTATCGGCGTAGACGCTGGATAAGGTTCGTTAATAGAAAGAGCCGGGCGACGAGTTCGGTGAGAAAAATTTGTGGCTTCCGTTCGTTCCGTCGCAATTAATTGCGATCGCGCACGTGCTACGTCATTGCGCAACCTCTCGGCCGTAGATCCGCCCTCGTAAATTTTCTGACTTCGCGTCGCCGCCGAATTTCCAAAAGACGACGCGGATGATAACTTTCCACGGTCGCGCACGTGCGTCACGTACTGGTCCAGTATAGTGAATTTTGAAAAAAAAAAATTTTTTTGAAAAAAAAAAAATTTTTTCGTAATTGAAATCATGCGTTTCTCACGGAGAGACGAATCCGACTGGTGAAGTCGGTCGTATCCGTGACCGTTCGATTAAATGAAAATTAAATGACCGGCTTTCCCATATGGTAATCGGCTAAGGGAATCGCGTGCCATTTAAATTCCCCGCGTCGACAATGGAACCGAAAAGTTATGCAGGGTTGAACGACCGTGCCATGTGCCACTTTTATCGAGCCACCCCGTGAATTGACATACGCGTCGGGTCCCCGAGAACGAACAATGCTCAGAGATTTGCTGACCCCCTTTTTCACCCCTCGTATTTCGGCAGTCAAAGCCAGTGAGACCCCAATTGAAACGGCCGAGGCAGGAGGGTCGCTACGAAAGATCAGCCACTTTTCGACTTTCCGGTACCGCTTTACCTGCGACGGGTACTGCTGGTCCTGACCACAATGTCACGGTAGTAAAATTCATACCAGCCTCCAGGACCATTTCGATCCCGACCAAGACTCGCAGTATATTCAACCCGTGCAGGAGCCAGGAGCCTTTTACGCAATGTCTTACGCAAGACTATCGACGTATCCTCCCTCCTATGCAAATGACCCCAAGTCCCAGATAGTCCTAGGCTATGAGGTTGCCGTACCGAAATCAGTATCAAGTAGCGCCGACGTGTCTGGCTCCAGGGACTCCGGTCCCTGCCCGCCGGTCGAGGAGCAAAGCTTCCAGGTCAGTTTGCTAAGAGGATTTCTTTTGTGGCGTCAGGGTGCAGCGAGGACGAGACAGGTGCCGATGCGGAGGTGGCTGGTGGTGGCGGAGGTGGCGGCGGCGGCGGCGGAGACGGAGACGGGGCATCGGGCAAGCAGGGAGAACGATGCCCCCAGTGTGGCATCCTCTGTCGAAACTTGCACGCCCTGCAGCTACATCTCGAAGACATCCACAAGACGTCCTACTCCATCGACAAGCACGACCTAGGCGCTCAGTTCTCCCAAGTCGTAAGTATCGGGCTTATCAGGGTCCAGCAAAGTCTTTGTGCCTTTGGGAACACCTGCCCCGTGTCTGGAGTACGTAGATAGAGATAGAGGGAGCCTGGGCGCTTTTGCTGGATGAGACTGGCCGAAGATGCTGATGAAAAGGGGGCAGATGAGCAGATTGAAAAAAATGCATCGCGCTACCGTTGTACTATTTGACAGTGGAACTTTGGAGCTTTACCAGTTCACCGGAAACATCCTGGCCCCTTTGTGTCTCTGGTCTTTTAACGATTTTACCTTTGATGACCTCAGCTGCCTGCCACGGTCGCTACCTAGAATATACGTGGAAATTTATCTACCGTTTTTCACTTACCAAACTTTTTTTTTTTTTCTTCATAGTCCTGCAAGGTCTGCAGCAAAACTTTCGCCAACGTGTACAGATTGCAGAGGCACATGATCAGCCACGACGAGAGCGCCGTACTCAGGAAATTTAAATGTCCCCACTGCGAGAAGGCCTTCAAATTCAAGCATCACCTTAAGGTAAGGATTTGTCGTTTTAATACTTTTTTGTTATATTGAATTTTTTTTACATGCGCAATTGACATTCGTGAAACGATAAGAAGACCTCTAACGTGCATTGATCATTTTAGGAACACCTACGCATTCACAGTGGAGAAAAGCCATTCCAATGCAACAATTGCGGTAAACGATTCTCCCATTCGGGCTCCTACTCCAGTCATATGACTTCGAAAAAGTGCTTGATAGTTAACCTGAAGAAGTCCAGGCAAAGCGCAATCAGCAACGTCGACAGAGCGGCCAAGAAGTCCCAGCAGCCATTGCAATCACGTCGTGACGTTGATCTCCTAGTTGCGAACAATAATACTTTTCTCCCTATTCTACCGAAACTGTCTCCCTCCGACTATCAAGATCTTCAGCAAAACGGAGGAGGTAACATTGCCATGTTTCAAGCTTTAGCCGATAGAAACTTCGATTTCATAGTAAATTTCGTGCGCCGCCGCTGAAAGTTTCATCGATCTTCAGCGAGTAATCAATGTAAACAGGGAATTTGAGGTTTTTGAATTTTTCATTTATCCCGAATACAAAAGCCGCAAATAGTATGAAAGACGGAAGCAGATACTGACCTTTTAATGGACACCGATAGATAAGGCTCTATCATTGTTTTCTGAAGTTTTAAAACTTCCTGTCGCGGCACTAGCTCTATTTTCTCTCGACACGCACAACGCGAATTCACGAGACTCTTGGCAGAGTCGTATTTCACGGGATAATCGAATCAACTTTCATTTCCTAGTCTCGTATCGATAACCAAGTACGAGTAAAATTGTCCTGTTATTCGTATCGTGAAGTTATAAATATTGTACAGTGTCAGGGTTACACGTTATATATTAGTACCACATATACTATAACGTACAAGCAGTCGGTAACGTTGAGACTATTTATTGTGTCTTTAGGAATCTACGATATGCCGACTCTACTACCTCAGATGATAGGATTCTCCAGCTACTTCCTGCAGTCCTCCCTGGGCAAGATCCTGAATCAACTACAGTCGAAGAGACGCGACGAAGTGGCTGAACAGTTTGAAACAAAACGTGAAACAATGAGTCCCTCGACGGCGGATTCCGAAGGTACGGAAGGAACGGAAGGGAAGGAGTCACCGGCCCCGGCGGACTCGCAAGGCCTGGACGGGGTCCGTCGTATCCTGGAGACCGTCAACACATCGGTGACCAAGCAACTGCTCGAGGCCAATGTGAGAAAGTTGGCTTCGTCGCCGGCGACGATAAAGCGCGAATACGTCGAGGATTATCAGGTTGGCTCAGTGAATATGAATGGCAGCATAAGAAATGGGGATAGCCCTATGCGTGCGAACACTTTCATTATCTTTCTCTTACTTCATCAGGATCAGGATAGCGAAATGTCTAGCGAAGTGACGCACTATCCGGACTGGCCGGCGACGGATCAATACGATTCGCAGAGCGAAGGTCTAGCCGCGAAACTTGAGGACGCCAATCAGACGGCCGGCAGGAAGAGCTGCAAGAGAAAGGCGGACCTGGAAACTATGGTGGAGACCTCCGAGGCGGATACCGATGACGAGGACGAGGGTAGCCAACTGCAAGGTGACTCTGGAAGAAAAGTCAGGGCCAGGTCGTTAATCGACGACGCCCAATTGGCTGTTCTCAAGGGTTACTACGCGATCAATCCTCGTCCTAAAAAGGAAGAGATTACCATGATTGCCAATTACATTAACTTTCCTACGCGTGTCGTTCAGGTGTGTATACATTGGAGTGACCAGTGTCAGATCCTGATTATTTTTTTTTTTTCATGTTTCTTACCTTTACATGCTCGTGCGATGGATTTTTTAAACAGTTCAATGTACCTTTTGTCCAGGTCTGGTTTCAAAATTCCCGTGCAAGAGACCGCAGAGAATCCAAGATCCCGGCTCTTGTACCCTTACCGGTCTCTGGGTGTCAGACGATCGTCGAGCAGCCACTGGATCTTTCGAAAAAGGAGCTGAGTATCTCGGTGGTCAAGGACAGTGATACCTCCAGTAGAAACACTGCCTCTCCCTTCGGTCCGAAGGAGGACAATCCGGTACTGCCAATACCGGAAGCCGATGACCTTGAAGACTCTCCCTTGGTCATTGACGAAGAAACGACTGATTCTGTGGAGACCAGGCAGCAGCCTGCTACTGGCGACGTTGCTGTCAAGGTAGGCCGTCATAATTAGAACGTGTCTGGATGAGGACGAAGTTTATAACTTTATTCCTTTCTTTGTTCTCCTCTTGGCTGATCACAGAGTCAGTCACAGACCCAAATAAAGAACGAGAGCGATGCAGTAGCTCGTGCCGATGCCCCGTCCACAGTGGAAGCCGAACAGGAAGGCCTCTACTTTTGCGACCAGTGCGACAAGACGTTTTCGAAGCACAGCTCTCTCGCGAGACATAAATATGAACATTCCGGTAAGCAATTTGACACCTAGGTTAATTATTAATAATTTCCAATTTCGAATTTTAACATGAGATACATATGACTGTCGCAAGGAGTCTTACACCATTTTTTGGAAACACGAACGAGCGCCGCATTATAAAAATGGTCAATGATTCACGCGAGCGATTTCATATTTGAATTGATTTGAAAAATTGGTCTTAAAAATATGAAATCTTGAATCAATTTTATTAGACACGAAAAAGCTCATGATTTTCTACTCTTGTGTATATTTAGCCAATTGTTACACAGCAGAAGTTATGAATAATCTTTAACGATAAGAAAAGGCCAGTTCACATGACTCACAAGGAGGTACTCTTTACTCAGGGCAAAGGCCGTACAAGTGCGTGGAGTGCCCGAAGGCGTTCAAGCACAAGCATCACCTGACTGAACACAAACGGCTGCACAGTGGCGAAAAGCCTTTCCAGTGCCGCAAGTGCCTCAAGCGCTTTTCTCACTCCGGCTCCTACAGCCAGCACATGAACCACCGTTACTCGTACTGCAAGCCCTACAGAGAATAGGAGGAGCTTGCACCATCATCCAAGGCCCACTCGCTTAGCTAAGTATACCTACGGACCTTTTAATTCAGGACTTAGGATTTAGGTCTCGTTCACAACGGTCGACGTCACGCGTCGGTATCGGAAGACAGCGGCGACGCGCGAGATTACCAAGGAACGAAACGAGGAGAGTGGATACACGAATTCTAGGCAAACGTACAAAAGGAGTGATTGAGTGAGACGAAGAAAGAGAAATTGTTTTTTTTTTTTTCTGTTTAAATGGCGACTGAATTTTACCGAGATTTTTCGAAAACGGTAAGCGACATCACAGGTAGCGAACATTGGGAGAGTCTGACGTGCGTGAGTGCGTGGCACGTGGGAGACGGAAGGAAAGATGGCGATTGAGAACGATCGGAGGATTTCGAGAGGGACACGGAAAAACAAGCGTGCGTGTGCGCCGGTGTTATTAGCGAATGCTGCGTCGACGGGGGAACAAAGGTGTTTCGCCACGCCTTGAAATACGCAGAGGCGAATTACGTGGCGACGGGGACGGCCGTGGCTACCGACGGCCCTGAGCTTCCTCTCGAAAGGGCCCGCGCTCCCGCGTGGCCCACGTATGAAACTTTCGTAGCAGCCAGTGGCGCGCTCTCGCGGCTCGTCGCGTGAAATGAAAATAAAGGCAACACTAACCAAAAAAAGAAAAAAGGAAAAAATGCAAAAAACAACACGTAACGGTACCAAAAACGCATAATGCAATAATAATTCTATTATACATAAGATATAATATACATAATATTTTATTATTTTTATTAACAAGATATTATATATAACATGACAATAATAAGAAAACTAATTAATGTACAAATTTGTTAGCTACATTCGACAGAGGGGGATTGCGACATAATTTTGGATAGTCGCTGTGTAATGTGTAAAGAAATATAGTGCGTGCGAGAGATTGTAAAATGGCGCGGGGTGGTGGTGGGGGGGGGGGCGCTTCGTTTAA